TAAATAGGTTGGTAGTTAGCCATGTGATTCCGGTTAGTGCTATCTGGGATCCTTCGGAAGTCCCTATCATTAACCCCAATCCCTTACCGAACCATTTACATTTTCTACTTCAATTGGGGGTGGGGACGTCCCAAGGAACACGGATAGGAAGGACCATGTGACTTCCTTTCACTGTTTTGACGTTTGTTAGCGAGCTGGCTAAGATAGCTAACTACACATCTTTGCTGTACTTAGTAGGTAATAGCATTATTCAAAACAGTTTATTATCACTATATGATATTAAACATACGTATATGTGCCAATTACAAATATTGTTTAAAGTATATCAGAAAACGAACTCCCGTAGCTAGCTAATTCGTATGGCAGACGTTAGGCTAACAATTTGTTAGCATTCAGCTAGGTGTTGCAGCCACACACTTGACTTTTGTATTGACGTTAAATTAAAGTATTTTACATTGCCCATGTAGATTAGTATCTACCTATACAGCACACATATTGACCTTCTGAATAACCTCCTCCCTGGCTTTACGTTTATATTCTTTTCGGTCTTCGACGCCGTTAACATTTTCAAAACTGCCGCCATGACACTGCCGGTAAATGTGCTTCCGTCAACTGTCGCAAAAACATTTACGACCTCTGAAAAAATGGTGGTTCTGGTTAATTTAGTCCACTGCAGTGGATTATACGTACAAATACAGTGAATTACAGAACTACAATTGTAATCAGGGCAGAAATTTGACAAACTGACTTTTTGGAAAGGTGGCATCCTATGAAGGTGCCACGTTGAAAGTCACTGAGCTCTTCAGTAAGGCCATTCTACTGCCAATGTTTGTCAATGGAGATTGCATGGCTGTGTGCTCGATTTTATACACCTGTCAGCAACGAGTGTGGCTGAAATGGCTGAATCCAATCATTTGAAGGGGTGTCAAGTGGACACTGTCCACATACTTTTGTATTTGTAGAATATTACTACACCGGAAGGGGTTTCAACATATCTAAGCCTTTATACTTAGGCATGAACGAATTGAAAATGGGCTAAATCAGACTCAAATGAAATGTCCCACCTGATCTTGCCTCCTGACTTCCTTCCAATTTTGAGACATTTATTTTCATTGTTAGAGCACCCACTCCAGTATCTGGTCAACATCTGTTCAGGCGCCGATAATCATTGTGCTTCTTCACATGAAGATGACTTATCTAAGCATACATTTGCACTATATTCAGTAGGAGGCTATATGGGAAATATCGTCATATTTAGCTCATCCAAGTTGCTATTTCCAAAGCACATCTCTGCTATTTCTGATTAAAAAATGCTTCATTGCAAATCCAGAGCTCCAATCGCAACATGTTTTCTGTAAAGATACAAACGTAGGCCAATCTTTGCTAAAAATGTATTTCATTTATTTAACAGAAAATGTAAGTTGCATACCTTCAATACCCCTGCCTGCCCTGTTTGTTTTGGATGATGGATGTAGATTGGGTCGTCAGCAGTGGACCCTCGCAGTCCAGACCCAATGACAAAATAGCTACACGGACTGAGTTAACCTTGTATATTTATTGATTTTTTGTTTTGCGCTGTCTCTATTCACACTCACAGGGCCCTACATACTCACACATGCACTCACTCCATCTTCTCACTCACACATAATATGCAAATACATTTATACTGACTCTACACACGAACACCCACTCACATACAGTGCATTCGGAGAGTGTTCAGACCCTTTGACTTTTTCCACATTGTTATGTTTCAGCCTAATGTATGCCCTCACTAACTGTAAATCGCTCTGGATAAGAGCATCTGCTAAATGACGTAAATGTAAATTGTGAACGTGTGATCAAACATATCAAACCAACCTGGCTTACCTGGAATATTATTGTACAGGTGGTAGGGTAGTGCACTCATCCAATAACTGCAAGGTTCAAGCCCCTCTCCTTTAGGCCTTCATTGAAAGTTATCTGTTCTCAATCTCACTGTATGTCTGCAGAACACTACTTGAGAAATAGCTCCCATAGAACTAGAATATCATTGTACACTGAACAAAAATATAAACACAACATGCAACAATTTCAAAGAGTTTACTGAGTTACAGTTCATATAAGCATCAGTCAATTGAAATAAATTCATTAGGCCATAATCTATGAATTTCACATGACTGGGAATAGAGATATGCATCTGTTGGTCACAACTACCTTAAAAATAAGGTAGGGGCGTGGATCAGAAAACCAGTCAGTATCATGACATGTGTCTCATGAAGCGAGACACATCTCCTTCGCATAGAGTTGATCAGGCTGTTGATTGTGGCCTGTTGTCCCACTCCTCAATGGATGTACGAAGTTGCTGGATATTGGCGGGAACTGGAACACGCTGTCGTACACATCGATCCAGAGCATCCCAAACATGCTCAATGGGTGACATGTCTGCTGAGTATGCAGGCCATGGAAGAACTGGGACATTTTCAGCTTCCAGGAATTCTGTACAGATCCTTGCAACATGGGGCCGTGAATTATCATGCTGAAAATTGAGGTGATGGCGGTGGATGAATGGCATGACAATGGGCCTCAGGATCTCGTCACAGTATCTCTGTGCATTGCCATCGATAAAATACAACTGTGTTCGTTGTCCGTAGTTTATGCATGCCCATACCATAACCCCATCACCACCATGGGGCACTCTGTTCACAACGCTGACATCAGCAAACCGCTCGCCCACACAAAGTTGAAACCGGGATTCATCCGTGAAGAGCACACTTCTCCAGCGTGCCAGTGGCCATCGAAGGTGAGCATTTGCCTATTGTAGTCGGTTACGACGCCGAACTGCAGTCAGGTCAAGACCCTGGTGAGGACGACAACCATGCAGTTGAGCTTCCCTGAAACGGTTTCTGACAGTTTGTGCAGAAATTCTTCAGTTGTGCAAACCCACAGTTTCATCAGCTGGCTGGTCTCAGACAATCCTGCAGGTTAAGAAGCCTGATGTGGAGGTCCTGGGCTGGCGTGGTTAAACGTGGTCTGCGGTTGTGAGGCCGGTTGGACATACTGCCAAATTCTCAAAAACGACGTTGGAGGCGGCTTATGGTAGAGAAATTAACATTAAATTCTCTGGCAACAGCTCTGGTGGACATTCCTGCAGTTAATATGCTAATTTCATGCTCCCTCAAAACTTGAGACCTCTGTGGCATTGTGTTGTGTGACAAAACTGCACATTTTTGAGTGGCCTGTTTTTGTCCCCAGCACAAGGTGCACCTGTAATGATAATGCTGTTTTATCAGCTTCTTGATATGCCACACCTGTCAGTTGGATGGATTATCTTGGCAAAGCAAAAATGCTCACTAACAGGAATGTAAACAAATTTGTGCACAAATGGCAAATTTACAAATGGCAAATTTATGGGATCTTTTATTTCTGCTCATGAAACCAACACTTAACATGTTGCATTTATATTTTTGTTCAGTATAGTTCTGTGGTAGCCCCAGCGTGTTATGCTGAGTAGGCTAAAGGAGAGGAGATTGTACAGTATAGGCCTGCCTATGTCAAGGCTAAGGCGTTCACCATAATAAGGAATGCAAAATGGCCTATAATGAATAGGAATGTATTGCAATGATGTTGTCTTGATGTTACCCCCTCAGTAAATAGATTTAAAATGCATTAGACCTTCTATCCATTTGATCAATACACAGGGGGCAGGCAGACATCTAGCCACCTTTAATTTTCTGAAAATGTCATATGCCTAACTGCAGCACAACAATCGATAGCCAGATCACCAGGCACGGTAGACTCCAGCCTCCTCCTCCTTTTAACTACGTAACTGGCGGTTCAGTCCCAGTGGACTCAGACAGCCGCGGAGGTAATTTACCGGGAGCCATTTCCCAATTATCACGGGGCTGCTTTGAGATACGGCATCGTCCCTGCAAGACCCCGGTACCCCGAGATTCATTCAGCTATTTAACTCGTCTGTTGGACCTTATCTAATTAAGATTAGTGTGTGAGTGTGTTCGGTGTGTATGTCCATTTCAGGTGCGGTCTACAGACAGCCAGACTCCCTGTCAGTACAAATGTGGTCTTGAATACTGATACTCAGGTTGCTCAGGGACCATGCAGTAGCAGATAGGGGGAGGGAGAGAAGGAGCAAGACAGAGGAGGATGGGAAAGGGAGGGAGGGGACAGAAAGGAAAACTGACAGAGGCAGTGTAGTGACCACCATGATCCCAGTTTATAGCAGAAAGAGGACAGACGGAGAGGAGACAGATGGAGAGAGAGAGGAGCACTGTTTTTTTTAACGTCATTTTAGCAGATGCTCTTATCCAGAGCGACTTACAGTAAGTGATTGCATATATTTTGATTCGTACTGGTCCCCCCTTAGGAATCGAACCCACTACCCTGGCGTTCCAAGTGCGATGCTCTACCAACTGAGCCACACGGGACCATGTTTATGATGAGCTGGACATTTGGGGCCCCTCTCTCTGTGATTGTCTGGTACCCCACTCTCATTGAGATGAATTAGTCTGGCATTGGGAAGCAACGGTGGCAATAGCAGAACACACGGCAGTAAATATACCAGACCTTAAGGTGACTGAGCTTGGCAATGAAGGGGATTTAAAGGAATAGTTTACCCCAAAACTAAAGTTTCCAGACCACCAAAGTGGTCTTGAGCCTAACGGAGGTATGAAAACTTTGATTTTAAAGTGAACTATTCAGCTGTTACAACGACACAAATCTTTCAAGGTTAACATTCCCATTCAACAACCTGGGGCTTTTTCTAACACTTAAAACGAAATACATCAAGTTGGAGTGGAGAAAATCAAACAGGCACTTTCCTCATTAATTTGAAGGGCATTTTGTTTTTCAATCTTTATTATTTACAATAATCAGAGATAACAAAACGCATCATTGGCTCGTATAATTGTCTCGTCTTTATCTGATGAGGCGAAAAGCTAATTTATTTCCGAATTCAATGTTTATCAGTTTAGGAGCTCATTTACTAAAATCTTGATAGTGTTTGTTTATCTGTCTCCAGTCTTCTCCAGTATGACACACCAGTTCCCCTGGTCGTGGTAGCTGCTCTGTACGGTCACCCCTCTGACCCTGACACACAGCTCCTCCAGCTCCCCCTTCTGGAACACATGGTAGTAGCGGTGAAACACTGGGCTGGGAGAAGCGTTGAGGGCAGGGGGCAGGGGCCTGGGCTTCAGTGGGAGGGTTTAAAGTCTTTTTGGAGCCTCGTCCCCCCTGCTCATCCCCTCCCCTCCTCTGGTTACACCCTCCTCCCCCTCCACCCTTGAGGTGCCAGGGCACCAGCAGGTCTTGGGAGTTGAAGGCAGTGCGGTTGGTGTGAACGCTCAGTTTTGCTGGACTCTCTGTCTCACAGTGGACTTTGGTGCAGCCCATGGATATACCTGAAGTATCCTGTGCTGTGTTGTAGGCGTCTGTGGCATTGCCTGTAAGTCTCTTTGACTCCTGGTTGTTGTGGTCCGTGGAGTCGTCTGTAGGACCATGTCTGGTCTCTTTGAGGTATTTGGACTTCTGCTTGTTGTATTCCTGTTCCACAGCCCACACATAGATTAGAGCCCGTCCTCCAGGCCTCAGTAGTCGAGCAAGCTCCTCAACCACAGCCTGCCTCCGCTCCTACACACACAAACAACTCAGATAAACAACTACACTTGATTAAACATGAAATAAGATCTTTTCAGTTCATGACCACTGACAGCTTGATAACGAAAGACAATCTCAATGTGAGATACAGATTAATTAAATCACTAAATCAAGTTGAATTAAAATCACTAAAATGGAAAGCGTCTGTGTCGGTCGGTGTGTGACCTGTGTGGAGAGGTGGTGTATGACTGCAATAGAGATGCAGGCATCACAGGCATCACTGCGTAGAGGTACATTGAGGGCATCTGACACAAAGGCCTGGAAGCCTCTTTCAGAGCAGATCTGGACCAGAGCACTGCTACGGTCACACCCCACCTACACACAGGAAGGAGATACAAACACACACAACTTTATTAATCCACCCAGCCCACCTACAAATAGGAGATACAAAACACACATAACTTTATTAGTCCATATAGCCCATAACACGCACGCACACACTTCCATTTTAATCTAAACTTCCTGATTAGTAATTACTCCTTTTCCACAGTTTTGACATTAAATAGTGAGAGGAATGGACACAACTCCTGACCATAAAGCTCCTGTATGACCCCAGCCAACCCCATTACTGGCCTGCCTTTACACACGCCTCATCGAGAGAATAATTAAGACCTTTACATCCTTATCAAAGTCACCCAACATACTCCACATAATGAAAACCAGCAGTGGACAAATTACAGCCGGAGCAGCCAGCTGCAATAACTCACAGCGGAGTAGGAGAGAGTGAAGGAAATTGATAGCAGTAATAATCTTTTGAATAAAACTCCTGTTCGGGGGAGAAATGTAATTAAGCTTCTTCATGAGTCATACGCTCTAGCCTATAAGGAGGGGTCTGGGGCAAGACTGGAAGAGAATTTCATATATTCTGTCTTATCATGCGTGAGTCACACAAACACACACACACACTCGCCAAAAAAACACACGTTCACTCTTGCTCATACACAGAGACAGACACACAATGGTCAACATTTGCATTCAATTTAAAGTAGTGAAGTTATCACTATTAGAATGGCTGAGGGGTTGAAGAGTCTCTGCAGGTAGCCTAATCCATTTACACTAAAGTAGAGTAGCATTCACAAGGCTTCGCTAAGATGGGAACATCATGTAGAGATTGTTTTGGAGTCTTTGAAAGTTTAAATGGTATATCTAAAGCAGGGGTGTCAAACGTACGGCCCGCGGGCCGGATCAGGCCCGCAAACGGGTTTAATCCGGCCCGCGAGATGATAAAAAAATAAAAATAAAAACTTTTTTTTTGTTTGTTTTTTTGTAAAGTATAAAAATGCGCTGCAATTTTTCAATAAAATAAACTGCTGTTCCAATTGCGTCCACTAGATGGCGCAATAGCAATTGTGTTAAGCAAGCAAACTGTTTATACCGGGGCAGAGCAAGTAGGTCAAGCACGTGCAGCCAATGAGCTACTTTGTTCGGAGTGGACTGGTCCCGCGCTGTCAGCCTGGCTACAGATGGTGCGCCCTCAATGATCGGGAAAAAAGCAGGCGTTGTGACAAAGTTCAGAGAGAAAGTGCAATCTGCAAATGGAGGACGTGATTTTTGGACTTTTCACTGTATTTTGCACCAGGAGGCTTTGTGTTGCAAGTCATTAAAGATGGATAACGTCATGAAGGTGGTCATCCAAACTGTTAATTTCATCCGATCCAGAAGCCTGAATCACCGTCAGTTTGACAGCCTTCTCAGAGAGAAAGACCACATCTATGGCCTGCCATACCACACTGAGGTAAGATGGTTAAGCCGAGGTGCTGTGCTGAGGCGTTTCTTTGATTTACGAGAAGAAATTGAACAGTTCATGGAAGAAAAGGGCAAACCAGTGTTAGAATTTCATTCCGCAGAATGGATGCAGGACCTTGCATTTATGGTGGATGTTACAGAGCACCTGAATAACTTGAACAAACAGCTGCAAGGGCGCAACAAAGTTGTCACGCAGTATTATGACAGCATACGTTCTTTCAAGTTGAAGCTGTCATTGTGGGAGACGCAACTTGCCGGTGGTGATGCAGCTCACTTCCCCTGTCTGAAACATGTGGCAGACATGAAGCGGTTCAAAGATAAAATAACGGGACTGTTACGGGAGTTTGAGCAACGCTTTCAGATTTATGTTTTTTATGTTGATGTGCTATTGTTTTTAATTGATTTTATTTGTATATTTAACCTATTCTTGACTCTGTGGTTCTTGCACTTGTTTGGGGAACAGGATTTCATTATTTTTATCTACATTTCTGCCTGAGAAATGACACCCTGATATAGTTCTGTGATCTGTGATATACTTATGTGAATCACTGAGGCATTGTGTGTTTGTGTGTTCTTTGTCCTCAGAACTTTCAAATAACTTGAGGTGTTTTATGATTAATAGTGATGTTGTGCTTTTGGACACTGTCCTCAGGCTCCAGCTTTATGTTTATATGTTGATGTGCTATTGTTTTTAATTGATTTTATTTTATTTGTATATTTAACCTATTCTTGACTCTGTGGTTCTTGCACTTGTTTGGGGAACAGGATTTCATTATTTTTATCTACATTTCTGCCTGAGAAATGACACCCTGATATAGTTCTGTGATCTTTGAAACAGTTCTGTTAATCACTGAGGCATTGTGTGTTTGTGTGTTCTTTGTCCTCAGAACTTTCAAATAACTTGAGGTGTTTTATGATTAATAGTGATGTTGTGCTTTTGGACACTGTCCTCAGGCTCCAGCTTTATGTTTATATGTTTTTATGTTGATGTGCTATTGTTTTTAATTGTTTTTATTTTATTTGTATATTTAACCTATTCTTGACTCTGTGGTTCTTGCACTTGTTTGGGGAACAGGATTTCATTATTTTTATCTACATTTCTGCCTGAGAAATGACACCCTGATATAGTTCTGTGATCTGTGAAACAGTTCTGTTAATCACTGAGGCATTGTGTGTTTGTGTGTTCTTTTTTTTTTTTAGAATTTTCAAATAAACTTGACGTGTTTTATGATTAATAGTGATGTTGTGCTTGTACTATTTTGGACACACTGTCCTCAGGCTCCAGCTTTATGTTGTATGTTGATCGTATTAAAACAAAGAAAACAATCTGAAGTTGTTGTTTTTAAGTTATATATACCCTGATTTTTCCGGTCCGGCCCACTTGGGAATAGACTTTCCTCCATGTGGCCCCTGAGCTAAAATGAGTTTGACACCCCTGATCTAAAGCATTGTCTGAGTACCCAGATAGAGGAAAATGCATGTTTTAATCAAGATGAATAATCTATTTTAACCAAAAATGTAACAAATATAGTGTAGCATTCAAAACGTTTTTTTTTTCTCATCTGGCTTCCATAATCTGTAAACATTGTGTAGAGATTGTTTTGGAGACTTTGAAAGCTTAAATGGTATATCTAACGCCTAGACTGAGTACCCAGATACAGGAAATGTATGTTTTTAAACAAATAAGACATTTTCACAAAAATTGTGTAGCATTTATAACTGTAAAAGAGTAGAAAAGTCTGAAAACTTGTATGGTAGGCTAATTGAATTGAGAGACGAGAGGGAACAATAGGGTCAATAAACAGGACACTCTCTCTTCCATAGATAGTGTTAAAAGATGCTAGTATTTATAAACTACCCTCACAGACTCCCTCACCGCAATCACTTCCGGGTTGACGCCCAGGTACTTTCCATTCCCACAGCCCACATCAGCGAGAATGCTTCCTGGTTCTAGGGAAGACAGGAAGTCACACACGCGTGGCCAGGGGGAGTGTCGAGTGCTGCTGAAGTGACCAGCGATCTCCTCGTACACACGGTGCACAAACTCCTCCTCTAGACGGCTAGCGTCAGTCTGGCTGCGAGGGAGGGAGGGGGGCGAGGGAGGGGCAGTAGGCTGCTGGCTGTCACAGCCCGAGGGGTACCCTGCTCAGAGGAGAGACAAACGGATCAGCACAGGTAAAGGTAAACACAGAGACACATCAATCCCATCTGCTTTTAACAAATCAAGGAGCTCACCGCAGTCACATGGTGTGCGGCGCACCTTACGGAAGGTGAGAGAGGTCCTGGTGCCCCTCCTACTTAGGGTGAGGTTACTATGGTTACTGAGGTCAGAGGTCACTGCAGCAGGGGATTCTGGGTCACAGGCTGGCACCACGTCAAACTTCCTGGGGGTTATCCTGGAAAACCACAGAAAACGGGATAGTTCACCCAAATAGTCATTTGGGGCGGCGCACAATTGGCCCAGCGTCGTCCAGGGTAGGGGAGGGAATGGCCGGCAGGGATGTAGCTCAGTTGGTAGAGCATGGTGTTTGCAACGCCAGGGTTGTGGGTTCGATTCCCACAGGGGGCCAGTATGAAAAATAAAAATAATGTATGCACTCACTAACTGTAAGTCGCTCTGGATAAGAGCGTCTGCTAAATGACTAAAATGTCAAATGTAAAGGGGTAGTTCACCCAAATGACAAATTGGTTTCCTTACCCTGTAAGCAGTCTATTGACAAGGTATGACATCAATCCATGCTTTGGTTTAGTGTCCATGGCACTGTTTACACATACTAACATTTTAGCATTTATGGCACAAATCCTACTCAAGAAATTGATTCGATATTAGCATTTTTCGCGCATCATGTTCAAATCCTACAGTGAGGGAAAAAAGTATTTGATCCCCTGCTGATGTTGTACGTTTGCCCACTGACAAAGAAATTATCAGTCTATAATTTTAATGGTAGGTTTATTTGAACAGTGAGAGACAGAATAACAACAACAAAATCCAGAAAAACGCATGTCAAAAATGTTATAAATTGATTTGCATTTTAATGAGGGAAATAAGTATTTGACCCCCTCTCAATCAGAAAGATTTCTGGCTCCCAGGTGTCTTTTATACAGGTAACGAGCTGAGATTAGGAGCACACTCTTAAAGGGAGTGCTCCTAATCTCAGTTTGTTACCTGTATAAAAGACACCTGTCCACAGAAGCAATCAATCAATCAGATTCCAAACTCTCCACCATGGCCAAGACCAAAGAGCTCTCCAAGGATGTCAGGGACAAGATTGTTGACCTACACAAGGCTGGAATGGGCTACAAGACCATCGCCAAGCAGTTTAGTGAGAAGGTGACAACAGTTGGTGCGATTATTCGCAAATGGAAGAAACACAAAATAACTGTCAATCTCCCTCGGCCTGGGGCTCCATGCAAGATCTCACCTTGTGGAGTTGCAATGATCATGAGAACGGTGAGGAATCAGCCCAGAACTACACGGGAGGATCTTGTCAATGATCTCAAGGCAGCTGGGACCATAGTCACCAAGAAAACAATTGGTAACACACTACGCCGTGAAAGACTGAAATCCTGCAGCGCCCGCAAGGTCCCCCTGCTCAAGAAAGCACATATACAGGGCCGTCTGAAGTTTGCCAGTGAACTTCTGAATGATTCAGAGGAGAACTGGGTGAAAGTGTTGTGGTCAGATGAGACCAAAATCGAGCTCTTTGGCATCAACTCAACTCGCCATGTTTGGAAGAGGTGGAATGCTGCCTATGACCCCAAGAACACCATCTCCACCGTCAAACATGGTGGTGGAAACATTATGCTTTGGGGGTGTTTCTCTGCTAAGGGGACAGGACAACTTCACCGCATCAAAGGGACGATGGATGGGGCCATGTACCGTCAAATCTTGGGTGAGAACCTCCTTCCCTCAGCAGGGGCATTGAAAATGGGTCGTGGATGGGTATTCCAGCATGGCAATGACCCAAAACACACGGCCAAGGCAACAAAGGAGTGGCTCAAGAAGAAGCACATTAAGGTCCTGGAGTGGCCTAGCCAGTCTCCAGACCTTAATCCCATAGAAAATCTGTGGAGGGAGCTGAAGGTTCGAGTTGCCAAACGTCAGCCTCGAAACCTTAATGACTTGGAGAAGATCTGCAAAGAGGAGTGGAACAAAATCCCTCCTGAGATGTGTGCAAACCTCGTGGCCAACTACAAGAAACGTCTGACCTCTGTGATTGCCAACAAGGGTTTTGCCACCAAGTACTAAGTCATGTTTTGCAGAGGGTTCAAATACTTATTTCCCTCATTAAAATGAAAATCAATTTATAAAATTTTTGACATGTGTTTTTCTGGATTTTTTTGTTGTTATTCTGTCACTCACTGTTCAAATAAACCTACCATTAAAATTATAGACTGATCATTTCTTTGTCAGTGGGCAAACGTACAAAATCAGCAGGGGATCAAATACCTTTTTCCCTCACTGTATATATGTGACTGTTGAGCTTCATAATATATTTGAGATACTTTTGGATGTTTTGAACCTAAAGCATGGATTGTTGTCATACCTTGTCCCTAGACTGCTAACAGTGTAAGGAAACCGATGTCATTTTGTAATTTGGTTGAACTATCCCTACACTCACTAGTCTCACCCTCTTCCTTTCCCCCCACTCTTTCTCTCCATCTCTCTTACCAGTGAGTCCATAGGTATCAGCTCTCTCTCTCATTCCCCATCTCTCTCGCTCCATCTCCCTCCCTCCCCTCCCCATCTCTCGCTCCATCTTCGTCTCTCCCTCTCTCGCTCCCTCCCCATCTCTCTCTCTTACCCGTGGGTCCATAGGTCTCTGCTCTCTCTCTCTCCCCATCTCTCTCTCTTACCCGTGGGTCCATAGGTCTCTGCTCTCTCTCTCCATCTCTCTCTCTCCCCATCTCTCTCTTACCCGTGTGTCCATAGGTATCTGCTCTCTCCCTTCATCACCAGGAGACTGCGCCCTGGCAACACTACGGCAACCGAGCGGCCTTCAGGATGACGGAAATCCATCACCGTCTGCAATGAGAGAGAAATGGAGCGAGAGGGAGACAGAGAGATGGAGAGACTGAGGAGAGTGACAGGATATAATGGAATTTCAGACACTGCTGAACCGGTGTGTTACAAAGCAGGAAAAGATCACAACGTTCTACACCATCAAATCACAGGCTTTACTGATATAGACATCTACATGCTCACACACACACACACACACACACGATCTGGGCTCTCTTCTTCCTCTCAGATCCTCTGGGGAGTATCACCCTATCAATGGAGCCGCTCGGCTGTGACCAAATCAATCCAGAACCAGACAGCTTCTCTACGCTACAACCCTCAGCAATTAATCACACACGCAAGCGCACACGCTCACCAATTGAATAGGAACACAGCTCAATGTTAACTGATTCATTACCTTTGCCTGACGACTTCCTGTTAAATGATTACTGCAGAGGAAACAAAGATATCCTCAAGTAGGCTTAACCTATCAGTCCAGATAACCTACTGCACTACAACGTCAGAAATAATAACGCAGTAGAAGCCTCCAACTATCACTTACAACTGCCTATTTATTTTTACTGAACAAACAAATACATTGCCAACCACTCAAGACTACTGCTTCATTACAACTTACAAAACATAGACGTCCCTCAAGACACTTCATCACAAAGACCTATTACAGTATCACAACCGATCCACTCAACACTGCCAACACTTCACCACAGCTTCAGAGACAAGGATATGTTTTATATTATATCAAATTAACTCTCAGTCAAGGCTGTCAACTTCACTATAACATCAGGGCAGTTCACTTCTCTCCTATCAGTCAAGGCTGTCAACTTCACTATAACATCAGGGCAGTTCACTTCTCTCCTATCAGTCAAGGCTGTCAACTTCACTATAACATCAGGGCAGTTCACTTCTCTCCTATCAGTCAAGGCTGTCAACTTCACTATAACATCAGGGCAGTTCACTTCTCTCCTATCAGTCAAGGCTGTCAACTTCACTATAACATCAGGGCAGTTCACTTCTCTCCTATCAGTCAAGGCTGTCAACTTCACTATAACATCAGGGCAGTTCACTTCTCTCCCATCAGTCTGGGTATAAAACGTCCTTTCCACATCGAGAAGTTACTTATTATTATGTCACAGACACGTAGATGCAGCACGGTGCACTCTGTCTGTCTGTAATTGATCTTGTGTCGTAAGAGAGGCTGTTGCTAATGGCACCCCTGCACTGCAGGCACAGAGGAACAGATGAGGTGTCGCATCTAAAGCCGCCCCCCTCTAACCCCGTCCCATCTAAAGCAGCCTCCCTGTCAGCATGTCGCAGTAAATGCTGCCCCCTCCCGTCAACCAGTCATGTACTGACAGTCTTGTAGCTGTGACAGGGAACAACTTCACACAGACATATGGAACATTGGGACCTCTCTCTCTTTCCTACATCTGTCTTTGTATTTATTTCATTAATTCACCATTAACAAAAAGAAACAGTCTTCAAAGACACGCATCATCAACTCAGTCTATGAAACGTAACTCTCCACGGTAGTTTGTGTGTGTGTACTTGTTTGTGTGTGTGTGCGTCTTCTGGGATACTAAACATCATTGTGAGGGCCTCTCCAGCAGAGAAAGGTCTTAAACATAACTAACCCTCCATTAGACTGCAAAACCTTTATACACACACGTGCAAACTCACACTTCCCAATCCTCTCAATTAGGCTGTTACATTAACACGCTCACAGAAACTCTGAAAAGCTTTTTCACTGCAGTGGAAGAGAGAGAGAGAGCGAGAGAGCGAGAGACAGACAGAGCGAGAGAGAGAGAGACCACGAGACAGAGAAAGGGTGGGGAAAGAGAGAGGATGGGGACAGAGTATAGACTTAATATTCTGTGAGGAAATGAAAACAGATCGAAAATGTACCTTAGCACCCAGGCTTAGGGAGAGGATGAGGTCTTCAAAGGCAGAGTGAGTGTCCACATGAGGAGGAATACCTAACAGCAACACAAATAAACCATAAGCTCAATGGTATGCCTTTAAACACCAGCACTATTAACATGTTATCCAAACACCAACCAGTATAAGGGTCTAGAAATAACCTCTGAATAACTGACATGAGGATTGTGTTCATTTCCAGTTCCACACACTTTACAGTCTGATTCTACAGCAGCATTGACACTACCTTCATTGTCCTCTACCTTATGACTGCAGAGCACGCTGCACCTGTGTGGTCAAGGCGAGTACTACAGCTGCTGGATGTGATGTAATTAGACTCACCTTGTCCAGACTGGTACTGGTTCACAGTCAGCTGGTCTGGCATGATGTCTGTGTGTCTGTCCCTCACACACCTCTCCAGCACAGGGACACACACCTGGGGAAGACCTGGGAACAAGACCACAAACATCAATGTATAGCAAGGGAACCACTGAGTATATTCCATTCACTGTAACACCATACACTATTATGATGATCATATGACAGACACAAACCTCCAGGTAACGGTTTGTCTTTGTCCACATTGTTGTTGTCATAGCGAAACTCGTAACCATAATGCTTCACTCTCCTGTGCTTCAGGGCTTTCTGCACTGGAAGACAAACAACAATCATTACCCAGTGACTGAAACCTGCACAGGCACTGACAGTTGGTCGATTGGTTGCCTGGGGACCAGATGGTGAATTTGTAATACACCGTCTGGAATTGTTTTAGTCATTTAGCAGATGCTCTTATCCAAAGAGACATACATGAGCAATTAGGGTTAAGTGCCTTGCTCAAGGGCACAGACTGATTCTTTACCTAGTCGGCTCGGGGACTCAAACCAGCGACCTTTCGGTTACTGGCCCAACGCTCTCAACTGCTAGGCTACCTGCTGTGTGACAGTGTTTGATTCTGGAAATGGTCCTCACAGGCGCAAAACCATGTAAACACCTGGAAGATTTCGGTTAGTATGCATGGTTTGTGTCTGTGTACTTCCGTCCTGTGCACGTGCCTTCAATTATGAGCAAACATATTTTTTAATTGCCACACATAGACCCGTGTTTTGAAGTCAGTTTAATAATACCTTCCTGTGGATATTCTGTCTCAAATTTCGACCAGCTGAGTGACCAACACCACAGTCAATCGGCAGAGTAAATTTAAATATAATTTTATTCAACATTCGTGACAGATAAGGGACGTTTAGGATCTTTCTATATAAAATGTGCGCAGCGTTGTCTACGTCATTTGAAGACATCGCCACATTTCGTGACTAGTTGATTGGTTGACTGATTGATCTCTGTAGCTCAGCTGGTAGAGCACGGCGCTTGTAACGCCAAGGTAGTGGGTTCGAACCCCGGGACCACCCATACACAAAAAAAATGTATGCACGCATGACTGTAAGTCGCTTTGGATAAAAGCGTCTGCTAAATGGCATATTATTATTATTATTATTACAAGGAATAATGCATCTTTAAAGTACCAGTGACATCCTCATCGTGGGACGTCCAGTCTATAGCGTCCAGCAGGAGAGCCTCTTCCTCCGGAGAGACAAACTCTTCAACCAGCACCAACCCTGGGGGGAGGTCCACACCCCCCCCCAACCCACTGTCCACTGCAGGGAAACATCCACAAACACAACTTACTACAGGGAGCATAACACACACACCATTTTTCTTTCAGATCTGACTGACTCAACTATGGTGACCCCCACACTGCGCACACACACACACACACACACACACACCTATTTACCTGTGTTGACATAGCTCAGGTACAGTGTGACAATCTGGTCCCCACACTGCAGCTGTCGTCCGTTGAGGGCGTGTCCTCTCTGGGCGCTGACCTCTGACCTGTAGGTCACTAGGGCGTAGGGTTTGTGTGGGGGCATAACCAGGGTCTCCACTTCGCCGACCTCTCCCAGCACGTCCTGGAGCTGCTCACGGCTCACACCGTTACCTAACCCACCGTTAGCCACCACCAGGCTCTGCAGAGAAACAGCAATATAGCTAGCATTACAGTCCTAGACCGTGCCTGTGTTATTTTCTCAGACAGCTACCTAGTCAGATTGCACAGTATATAGCTATTGTATTCGTGTTCAGTCTACTTTCTTAACTTACAGATGTGTTGTTCTTGCTCCGTCTAGCGGCTAGCTACTGGTGCTAGGTACAGTAGCTAACACGTAAACTAGCTTACTCTCCCGCAAAACAAAGACTGCAGTTATTACCTTGGTGGGCTGTGTTACTGTGCTTATGCCCTCATGCTTCAGTAAAGTATGACTGGCTTTGATTTGCTTTCGGAGAAGTTTCTTCTCCTCTTTATTTCTCCTGACAGTTTTCACGTTTTCTGAGTAGGGCTCCATGGTGCAACTACTAAATACGTCCCCACTGCAACACAGACGTGAGAAATGTTTCCGGAATTACGTAAAATACCTGTCCAGGCGTTGTAACATCTGGTATGCGTCAGCAACACCTGGGCAGAGGAATGCGCCTCATATGGTCTTATTCCCCTGCTCAGACGTTGCGGATGCATGCCAGATCTTACAACCCCTGGACAGGTATTTTACAGATCAGCTAATCACATCATATGTTATAGCAATCTGGTGTTAGTCTTGCTAACACCAGCTTCGCTCTAAATTCTTGATTTGATGTGTAGTCACGTGGGTCGCGTGTTTCGCCTGTTCTTGGAACGTTAATTTATCGGTTGCAGGGAGGTTCTGATAACGTTTTCCTATGGTCCCTGAAAGTTTCCTGGGATATTTTATTAATGTTCTGAGAACGGAAATTATAAGTTATTTTGATTTTTTTGTATAACTTCTTTATTAAAACGTTCACTGAATGTCAAGACCTTTAATAACACTGCTAGCTTTTTTGAACACAATAGGACCCATGGAAATTAATTTCCTTAGGCATTAATCTTACAAACACATTCATTTTTTTATTGTGACATGGCATCAGTGAGATTTGAATTCATAACCTTCGGTTCTCTATCTATGGAATTAGTCCACCGTGCCTCCAGGACAGAGATAGCATGCCATATTTTTTTAAGAATACAAAGCTGTTCATTTTAGTCTATTCAAACAGACCCCATTTCAAAGGAAACAAACACTCCTTAAGATCAGGTGTGGCCAATAAGTAGGCACGGCCAACACACACAGACACAACACACTAAACAAGACAGAGGCTAGAGAGAGTTTGGTTGATGCTGAGAACGGAATGTATATGTTTTTAAATAACATTCATAGAACATTCTCTGAACTATACTAAAGTTTTCTTGTGGCTTTTATGGAAAGTTTTCTTAATGTTCTCAGAACAATTAGAGAACATGACTTTAAATAGAACCATGAGGAAACCTGTACGAAACATTATGCTGAAGTACTGAAATTCCCACAGAAGAACGTTGTTTCTTAACGTTCTCTGAACTATTCGAGAACATTCCCAATGTCAAACCAGTTGGAAAACGTTCCTAGAACAAAATTAAATTGAATGTGACCGTGTTTGAACTTTTAGGAAAACTTCTGTAAAAGTAATAAAATATATATACACTACCGTTCAAAAGTTTGGGGTCACTAAGACATTTCCTTGCTTTGGAAAGAAAAGCAATTTTTTTGTCCATTAAAATAACATCAAATTGATCAGAAATACAGTGTAGACATTGTTAATGTTGTAAATGGCTATTGCAGCTGGAAACGGCTGATTTTTAATGGAATATCTACATAGGTGCACAGAGTCCCATTATCAGCAACCATCAGTCCTGTGTTCCAATGGCACGTTGTGTTTGCTAATCCAAGTTTATCATTTTAAAAGGCTAATTGATCATTAGAAAACTGTTGTGCTGATTAAAGAAGCAATAAAACTGGCCTTCTTGAGACTAGTTGAGTATCTGGAGCATCAGCAATTGTGGGTTCGATTACAGAATCAAAATGGCCAGAAACAAATAACTTTCTTATGAAACTTGAAAGTCTATTCTTGTTCTGAGAAATGAAGGCTATTCCATGCTAGAAATTGCCAAGAAACTGAAGATCTCGTACAACGCTGTGTACTACTCCCTTCACAGAACAGCGCAAACTGGCTCTAACCAGAATAGAAAGAGGAGTGGGAGGCCCCGTTGCACAACTGAGCAAGAGGACAAATACATTAGAGTGTCTAGTTTGAGAAACAGACGCCTCACAGGTCCTCAACTGGCAGCTTCATTAAATAGTACAGCAAAACACCAGTCGCAACGTCAACAGTGAAGAGGTGATTCCAGGATGCTGACCTTCTAGGCAGAGTTGCTAAGAAAAAGCCATATCTCAGACTGGCCAATAAAAAGAAAAGGTTAAGATGGGCAAAAGAACACAGACACTGGACAGATGAAGATTGGAAAAAGTGTTATGGACAGATGAATCGAAGTTTGAGGTGTTCGGATCACAAAGGAGAACATTTGTGAGACGCAGACCAAATGAAAAGATGCTGGAGGAGTGCTTGATGCCATCTGTCAAGCATGGTGGAGGCAATGTGATGGTCTGGGGGTGCTTTGGTGGTGGTAAAGTGGGAGACTTGTACAGGTTAAAAGGGATCTTGAAGAAGGAAGGCTATCACTCCATTTTGCAATGCAACGCCATGCCATACCCTGTGGACGGCGCTTGATTGGAGCCAATTTCCTACAACAGGACAATGACCCAAAGCACAGCTCCAAACAATGCAATAACTATTTAGGGAAGAAGCAGTCAGCTGGTATTATGTCTATAATGGAATGGCCAGCACAGTCACCGGATCTCAACTCTATTGAGCTGTTGTGGGAGCAGCTTGACCGTATGGTACGTAAGAAGTGCCCATCAAGCCAATCCAACTTGTGGGAGGTGCTTCAGGAAGCATGAGGTGAAATCTCTTCAGATTACCTCAAGAAATTGACAACTAGAATGCCAAAGGTCTGCAAGGCTGTAATTGCTGCAAATGGAGGATTCTTTGACGAAAGCGAAGTTTGAAGGACACAATTATTATTTCAATTAAAAATCATTATTTCTAACCTTGTCAATGACTACATTTCCTATGCATTTTGCTATATTTCCTATTCAAACTCAATTCATGTATGTTTTAATGGAAAACAAGGACATTTCCAAGTGACCCCAAACTTTTGAACGGTAGTGTATGTATTTTTTTGTTCCTTAAATGTGCTGAGAATGTTCCAAAGCCAAGCAACTATCCTGCACCAGAAAATTGTGGGAAGGTTGCATGCAAAATAACTATAGACATTAATAACTGCATTTCCATAGCTTCCCAAAAAAATGTAACACCTGAGGAGGAGTACCAAGATGGCTGCGCGGTGCTTCAATACAGCGCCCCCTGTCAGTCATCCAGGGTTTCTACAAATCATTGTAATAAACATATGGTTCTCAAAACGTTATATGCTAGCTGGGATACTTTTGTTCCGTTCCATCACCATCTACAGAGTAATATGGGGAACAGGATATGGACGGATCTTGTGTCTGAGGTTCACTTGGCTCTGCACCTCTGACAGCTGCATATGGCTTTAAGAGGAGTCCAAAATAGAGAAAACAGCATAACCCCCAAATTGATGAGACATGGGGATGTCAACAGGCTCCGACCTCCATTCCATGATGAGACATGGGGATGTCAACAGTCTCCGACCTCCATTCCAGGCGTTCTAAAGAGGTCATGGGTGTGTAGTGTGCATAAGTGCCAACAATATGAGGTCAAAACTCCAGTTTAGTGTGTGTGTTTTGGTATTGCTACTTGCTCTTTGAGGGATTGGGTCTGGGATCTGTTGTTTGGGATAAATGCATTTGTAAAAGCTCTGTACACAAATTAAATTGGATTGATTTGTTGTGATTTGGTAGGGCACCAGCAGTGTTACATAACTCAGCTGTTGTTTGGTTGGCCAGACTGTTTCCATAACGGAGGGTTCCCCCTGGCCAACACAGATATGAGTCACTGATTAGCGAGATGTCTGAGGACAGGTGAGGGCTTTGTTATCACACACACACAAACACACACACACGCATGCATGTGTACACACACACACACACGCATGCACGCGCACGCGCGCGCACACACACACACACACACACAAACACACACACATGCACACACACACACACGTGGGGACCAAATATTTATTTTACATAAAAAATTATATTTTCCCTAACCCCTAACCATAACCACAACCTTAACCTTAACCCGTAACACTAACCCTAAACCTAACCCCTAACCCCTTACCCTAACCCTAATTCTAACCCTAACCATCATTGTAACCCTATCCCTAAACCACTTACCTTAAAATAACCTTTGACCTCATGGGGATGTGGGAAATGTCCCCACTAGGGAGAACTTTCCTTGTTCTTCTATCCTTGTGGGGACTTTAGGGGATTTTAGGTCCCACAAGGATAGAAGAGCCAAGGTCCCAATACATGGGTCACCAACAGGTTGGTCACCTGGGAACCAACACATGGTCAAAGTCCAGAGTACACAATCAATAAGAATGTTTACATAGTGTAATAATGTGTGTATGTTTTCCTCCTGGTCCAATAGCATCACTCCATGTTGATATTTCCCAGAACACTCCATCAGTGCTGTCGGTGGCGGCAGCGGGACACAGATGCAAGGGCTCCGTCATTCCCGAAGGAGACGGCCGTATGTATCCCTGTCTCAGAGATTCGGTGACGTATGTCTCCATAGCTGCCGTCTCCTCCTGAGACAGAGGATACACATGACTACGAGGAAGTGCAGCGCCTACCTGGAGGTCTATCGCACAATCCCCCTGTCTATGAGGTGGTAATTGATTCGCCTTCTTCTTACAGAAGGCGAGTGCCAAATCTGCATACTCAGGAGGAATGTGCATTGTGGGCATTTGGTTCGGACTTTCCACCGTCGTTGCCCCTACGGAAACACCTATACACCGCCCGACACACTGATCAGACCATCCCTTGAGAGCCCTCTGTTGCCATGAAATGTTGGGGTCATGAGATGTTAACCAGGGAAGCCCCAACACCACGGGAAACGCAGGAGAGTCAATCAAATACAACTGTATAATCTCCTCATGACCCCCCTGCGTCTTCATCTTAAGTGGCGCAGTGACCTCCCTAATCAATCCCGAACCCAAAGGGCGGCTGTCTAGGGCATGGATGGGGAAGGGCACATCAACTGGTATAAGAGGAATCCCTAACTTATACGAGAAACAGCGATCAATAAAATTCCCAGCTGCGCCTGAATCGACTAGCGCCTTATGCTGGGAGTGAGAAGAAACCTCGGGAAACACAACTTTAATACACATATGTACCACAGAGAGCTCTGGGTGAGTTGGGTGCTTACTCACCTGTAATGACTCATCAGTGCGTGGCCCACTGCCTCGATCCCTAGGAGA